GTAGAAGAAGTAGTAGTAGTGGTGGTGGTGGTAGTAGTAGTCGTCGTAGTAATAGTAGTAGTTGTTGTTGTTGTTGTAGTAGTCATCGTCGTGGTGGTGGTGGCGGTGGACCCAGTTGACCCGGCGGCCACGCTAAATCTCCGGACCCAGTTGACCCAGTTGAGGTCAACTGGGTCTGGGCCAACTGGGTCAACTGGGTCCGGAGATTTAGCGTGGCCCCCCGTGCGGTCGCAATGAGTAGATGGGCTAAGGGTGATTTGAATTTGAGGAATGTTCTCAACGCAAATCTAGCTCTGACGCTTCCTGCAGATTGAGCTTTGATGTTGACTCACAGCAACGAGTATCAAATTCTCAGAAAACGGCTTGCAGCCCAACTATGCCTGCAGCAAACAAGTTGCACTAGCCTTCTACAAAATGCATATGGATTGCATTCTAGCCGCTCGCCTGAATATTGGAAAATCAAAACTTAGATTGCGCATGGTCAACATGTTTGTATTCAACATGATCGTCTTCTCTTTTGGAGGATTACAATCACCATGAATCCACGGTCTGAAAAGTGTTCGGACTGTGGCACAAATGAAAACTGACTGCTTCAGGACGGGTAGTTCCAAATCCAAGAATTTACGCAACGAAAAACAAGTCATAGGAGAAGTCAAAACAACAATGTAGTCCAAGCGAAAGAAAAGAATCAACAAACTCCACAGCTGACAGCTGCAATTTTTCGATCTCGCGTTTGGACAAGCCGAGGCAAATTCCGACCCACTTTGACTACTTGGTCAGTCATAGCTCTATTCCTCGATCACTCGTCTGAAAGTCAACATCGTATGTTTTGGTTGGAATGTCTCAAGAGAAAGAAAGTGTGTGCGTGTGTGTGTGTGCGTGTGCGTGCGTAGCCCTTTCAGCCTTGGTGAGATACTGGGCGCAATATCTTGTACCTGCTTTGCGTCGTTCTTGGGCGCATTTAAGCCACAGCTGGAGGACACTAAAAGGCTAATGCGAGGCAGTCACGCACGTTATGAATTCCATTTTACCCAGGAGCTTATTTCACCTAGGCTTCTGCGCGGCATGTGGCAGTCGGACCTTAGTGCGCGTCTCCCTGCGAGAGCCCGATGTAGCGCCCTCCGTGGTCATGGAAACGTCCCCAGCGCGGGCGACGGAGTCTGAGCGCAAAGGTTTGTTAGGACATGACAGCGGCCGTTGGATCGCTGGATCCTTGTTCCGCCCTCAGTTTGACACCGGCGTGAACCTCTCCCTCCTCCTCTTCCTTTTACCGCACAGTTCATGGTGTGTCCTGGATGATTTCTTTGTAGCTGGGATTACCTGACCTCCACCTTTTTCGTTTTTGTGTGACCTGGCTCTCCTTGTTTTTCGTGTTCCTGCCGGGGTGTCCCTGCCACAGCTGGGAGCTCTCTTCTCTTGATGTGTCCCTGGACGCTTGGGTCGTAGCTGGGGGCATCGCGTCTTTTTCTCTTCGCCTTTTGTCCTTTTCTCCTTTCTCCCTGTCCCCTCCTTAGCGCGCGGCATACCTATGCCCCAGGTGATGTGGATGAGGTTTTTCTTTTCTCGTTGGCCCCCTTTCACTTGGTTCCCTTCTCGCGTTCACGCACCTTTCTTCCTTTGTTTTAACGCCTTTCTGTCTTCATATCTTCTCACCTCATTGTTTTCTTTCTCTTTCTTGCGCGCACATTCGTCCCGTCCTTAGTGTGTGCGTGCACATTCACCTACCAACTAGGTTTTAGGCGCCCCACCTCGTTTACAATGAGGTCTGGCTCACTGGTTTTCAATCCCTTTCATTTGGCTTCCTGTCATTGCAACTTGACATACATTGGCCCCTTTCACGTCTTTCCCTTCATGTCCGTTCATCCGCCCGCTGTTGTCTGCGCACACAGTTGCTTCGCGCCCACCTTTCCCGGTACGGACAGGATGGAGGCCGTATCGCCCCCTTGCGGAGTGTGTGCGTGTGTGTGTGTGGAATCACAACAGGGAACCTGTTGGTTCTCCATCCAGCGGCGTCAGGCTCAATACGCCTACCTGACGCAGTGAAGTGTATCGATGGAAGGGTGGACTGATCATCCACCCGTACCTGGGTTTTTCAACTGTTGCTTGTTTGTTGTGGTCACCTGGTTTGTTTCATGGCGGTTCATGTACCTGAGGTTGTTCCTGGAGGGTTTTGATCTTTAGGCAGGCCTCCAAACTTGTAACCATGGCCTTCAACCTGGATGCGATGGCCTCCAACTACTATAGCAATGGCCTCTAACCTTGGCTGTCTTGTGTTTCTTGTCACCAACCTACCAACGATGGCCCCTCAACCTGCTTTCGACGGCCTCCAACCTAAGAGCGATGACCTCTAACTTTGGCTGCTTTGCAGTTTCGTTTCTTGTTACCAACCTGCTAGCGATGGCCCCAACCTGCTTTCGTTGGCCTCTAACCTAAGAGCGATGACCTCCGACTTACTTTTCCCGTTTTACTTAGGCCCCGTTTTTCACCTAGGTTTCCGTGTGGCAAACCGCAATCGAATCAGTACGCATTTCCTAAGTGTGTCTCTCCTAGTGAGAGCCAAGGGTGTACCCGAGGAGTGTCCCCTGTGGCCCGTCAAACGGGGTTTGTCTCTGTTTCCCATGCTCTGCAAACGCACGCGCCCACGTTATTTGCCAAGACTTGCTGAGTTATTGCATTTGAGTAGGCTTTATGCCAAAAGGTGACCACAGCGGTCAGAGCAGCCAGCCATTTTGGCAAGGCACAAGGTGACCATAGCGGTCAAAGCTTTTTAAGGTTCACTGTTGGAGCCTTAGCCCCCCTTTCCTTCCCTTTCCCGCTCCCTTCTTCCTGCTCTTTCAATTCTCCCTGCGCGCAATAACCATGTACCCCTCTCCTTGGCGTGTCCCTGGACGATCATTTCGTAGCTGGGAGCACCTGCCCCCTTTTCCCTTCTTCCCTTCTCTTCCTCTTCCTCTTCCTCTTCCTCTTGCTCTTGCTCTTGCTCTTTCTCTTTCTCTTTCTCTTTCTCTTTCTCTTTCTCTTTCTTTCTCTCTCTCCCTCTCTCTCTCTCTCTCGCTTTCTCTCCTCCCTCCCCTTTCTTTCTTGCTTGGGTGTCCCTGGATGCTTTCGCCATAGCTGGGAACCCTTCTCATCTCGTCTTGGTGTGTCCTTGGACGCTTGAGCCGTAGCTGGGAACACCATGTTGTCTTTTCCTGTTCCTTTTCTCTTCCTGTTCTCCCCTCCTTTCGCGCGCAGCGTGCTTACAAGCAAACTAGGTTTTACAACAGGCGTTTCAATGAGGCTGGGCCTTTCATCGGTTTGTCCCCTTTCATTTGGTTCCCTCTTCATTGGCCCCCACAGACTTCTTTTCCTTTTCTTTCATGTCCTTCTGTCTTCATGTTTCGTCATCCTCATCCTTTTCTTCTCTTGCGCGCACTTTCACCCGGGCCTTAGTTTGTGCACATGCACGCACGCGTATTCTACTTCAAACTAGGCTCAGGTGCCCCAGGTTTGTTACAATGAAGTTTGGTTCATTGGTTGTCCCTCTGCACTTGGCTTTCCTTCATCAGCAACCACATACACTCCTTTGTCTGTCTCATCTTTCACTTTCATCTGTCTTCTTTTGCGCACACATGTGCTCGCACAACCCCCTCTCCGGGCAGGATGGGGGTGCCTCCTTCCCAGGCAGGACGGAGGCCACACATGCCTCCCTTGTGGGAGGCATGTGTGCGTGTGCCCGCCCGTGGTCACGGAGGAGGCGATCCTCACCATGACCAAGCTATACGCAAAACAAGGACATCATCCCAGAGAATGCCCCCTGTTAGTGCGTGGAAAAAGCGGCCCAGGGCCTCGTGCGTGACAACCGATCCTTAAAGGGTGCACCGTTAACGGCTCCTTGTGTGTGTGTGTGTCACGCCCTGTTTCCAAGGGCCTCACACACTGCTACTAATCTCTTCTAGCTTGAATTCAACTCAACATACTGTACAGTCTGTGCAGCGGGCAGAAGAACCGTTGCAAGTCTCCTGCCAACAAAGACACTTGCAACTGGTGGTGATACCAGACCTCATCAGTCTGGCGTACCTGGATATAGCTCGTTTGTGAGTTCAAAACATATCCACCTTTCTGTTGTGAGCAGGGCGGTCTTCAGGCTTCAGCGTTCTACTCGGATAATGCAGTAACTAAAGTAAAGTGCTAGCTTCACTGGATTCTCGTAACTGATTCTGCTCTTGCGAGCCTATATCTAAGTGTGCAGAAAGTTGCTGTATCAGGCTGATCCTTTCCTCCGCTGAGGCCTTCTACTTCTAGGCTGAGGGAGGGAATAGAGCTCTGGGTGTCGAAAGTGCACGTTACCTTTCGTATTGTGCACCGAAAACTCTGGCTTGCCATGCATCAGTCTGGCGTCTCTGAGAAGGAATGCAACGCGTGAAATAAACAATTACAATAACTGACTGTCTGTCAAACTTACACACGTCAAAATCTACCAGCATTCTTGAAGCCAGTTTAGCGGCAGTATGCACAGGAGAATGCTTACTGCCAAAACTTGGAAAGGGCTAGCAGCTACGTAAGGTTCTACACTGCATCCGGAATGCACTCAAGAGATTCCAGTGACTAAACAGATGTCAGGAACTCCAAAAGCCTGTACTGTGTGGTTTCAAGATTTCGGTTTGAGTCGTTGGGCTTCTAGAAGTGATGCTATGTACCAAATTCATGCGTTTTTTGTTTTGCTTCAAGTGCATTGCATGGCATATTCCTGCCGGAGTCTAAAGGCTGCACAACCTGCCCTGGGAACTGCCCTTTTGACCTGTCTGCCATGCCAGAAACTTCTTCCAATGCCTTGAACTGTCTACTTCTGAAGAATTAGGCAATCGGCAAAAACCATCTTCTGCGACACAGTTCGCTATGCTGGCTGCAGATTGATAAACAGCTTTGAACTTGGAAAAATAGGAGTAGACTTTTTGGTGTTCGCAAGCAAAGCTCTCACACTTCAAACTCCTCTTGCAAAAATGCAGTTCTAGAAGCGCAACATAAGCCTCTTTGGAGTTATGTCAAGCCAATCTTCCAGTGACGTAAAGCAAAGAAAGATATTCAGTACTCTGGCGCAATTCTGAGGCCTTGCAACGAGAGCATGTCGGGGCAGCTGGACCACACGGTGCACCATGATTCAGGTCAGATCCTGTCTCTCGCTGAGGTCGTAGCTGGAGCACAAGCAGCGTCTTTCACACGCTAACGTCCTTCGCAGATTCGCAAATTCAGGCTAGAGAACCATATTGGTCCAAACTTCAGGTACAGTGTGCAAGGTTCAAAAGGAGTTAATCGAACGGGCCAGGATAGCTCAACGAATCAAAGACTGAAGTATACAGTGTACAGAAGTGCTGTGTGCCAGAAGCTCTTTCTCTGTGTCGATGCAAAGAAGCACCACTCCCTAGGGCTTCACGGGAGCCATAAGACGACAACAGGGCTAAGTCTTGCAGCAGGGACTCCAAAAAGCATTAGCAGTACATAGATGTTGTGCGACTTCGCCCCATATTCATTATTCAAGTCCTTCTTCTTGTGATCCTCCTCCTTGTCATCAGCCGTTTTCTTTTCCGGTTCCTTCACTCAGACGCTGGAGATCCCATTCTGTAGCTTGAACATCTAATACCAAAGATGTGTGAGATCAGCATGAACAAGCCATTAATAAATGGATAAACCAACTCAACTCCGATCAACCAACTCCCAGCCACAAAGAGCAATAAACCCAAGCACTGCCCGTGGTTACAAAATTCACATTGAATTTCAGATAGTCTTGTGTTTCCCAAAGCTAGGTGCAAGTACTGAACTGCTGATCTCAATTCAACTCTATGATAAAATAGGAATTTGGGACATGTGCTTTGTTTTCCTGATTCAAGCAAGAAATGAAACAATCATGGGTGGCAATGTGATCCTTTTGCCTCCTGTGCCCCAGAAGTAGCAAAGCATTTATGCGCTCAAGGTTCACAAGAGTGTTGAACATTGCGGTCCTTCTTCTCCTCTGTCTTGTTTGCAGGTTTAGGTGGGTTAAGCTTAGCCTCGGATTGGCTCCGCCCTTCTGCATTTGGCACACTCATACAAGTGTTTATGAGGGGAGGAGACAATGCTTGCTAGTTTAAATCTCCAAACATGTTGCTCTGACTTGGTAAAAGCTGTATATTATATGTATGTCCACATATATATATACATATATATACAGTATATATACAGTTAGTGAGTCGTCGACAAACCAGGTTATCTTTGCATCCAGGAAGCCCACGCTTCTTGTTCTGCTTTGATCAGATAGGGACCCTCAAGTTTGTCTGGCTTGTACTGAGCTTGTCTCTTGGTGAACGAGTGGGTCTTTCGCGTTTGGCCACCATGGGAGATCATCTGCGGCGGTGAAAACGTCGGAGCAAGCACAATCACACTGACTTATATAACCCCTTCGAGGTTGGCACTAGCGCAATGGAATATTGACTAAAGCCACTGCTTCAATCAAGTGCAGTATGCAGCAAATCTAAGGAATCTGTGCTCCACAGCTACGGCTGTCCAAAGCAAGAGTTCCCCAATTCGCGTGCCAAGGAAAAAATGAAGGAAGAGTTACAGTAATTAAAAGAATGGATTTATGATTTATGGTCTAGAAACAAAGCAAAGGAAGAAACACAGATATCTGCCCACCTCCAACCTCACTTTGTCCTTCCAAAGAGTCGCATCGACAAACCCTGAGTTGCAAAACCATCAGCAAATACAGTACATGGCAATTTCATCCACTTCTACCCTGGGCACCTGCTCAACCTGAACCACATCAGCTTGTTTTGATTTGTTTTGACCTGGAATCCAACGAACACATTTCAGATTGTTCGAACTAATATTTTGTGGTCTTGTGCATTCATCACGGCAGACCAAAAGTACAGGTTTTCCCTTAATGAGGGCCTGCACATGGTTGCCACCATTGATGCTAGGACAGAGTCACATCATACACCTGACCAAAGGACCTTCGGACCTAGCACCAATATGACTCCACCCTTTTTTGCACCTACTTGACTACTTGATTGCTGGCTGATGAAATGGGATAGGACAATGACAATGCATTCAACTCTTTGCAGCCAGTGGATCCATACTGATCGTCATTACCATTGTTGTCTGGCCAGAACTCCGATGTGATGCCACCACCTCCACCTGTAATGATGCACACCTTGAGGCAGCGACTGTCCAACTGAGCAAGTGCAGCATCTGTTTTGACACGCTGGCCGAGTGGTCCAAAGTTAGCTTCACTCAAAACCTAAACGTGTTTTCTACAGCAAAGGTGTTTGAAGGAACTGAAATAATATCCTTGAAATACCCAAACTCCTTGTTTGCTGCCACAGTACTTACTTCTAGTTTCTTTATCCTACCAACATCATCTTTGCTGCTGTTCCCGCATTGCCGATTTTGCCGCGGCACAGAAGGCTTAAATTGGTTTCTCCAATCCCATTGCTCCAGAACATCTTGACGATGAACATGCCCGGTCACAAACAAGTCAATGCCATACTGCCAGGCCAAATACTTCCAATGAGCCTGGAACCAGACCCACACAAGCTGAACGAACACACAAGTTCTGTATTCGGTTCATTGCATCAATGCACCCTTTGCCGAAGGCTGCATGTTCTGCACTGAAGGTGCGGAGGCGTGATTCTCCCGAGGGCTTAAAAAAGTACAAATTAGAATTAGATGTATTCAGGCAGTGGTCATCTTTGCTCTAAAACCCTGAGCTGCTCCACGCTTTTGAACATGTGTTGAAACTCTGCCAAGGAAATTGCATGTCAATGATGCTAGCCAATTTGCTGCATCACTTGTACGATATTTCGTGAAAATAGAATAGAATAGTCAAAATAGTCATCAAAAGGGAATTGAAGGCTGATTATATAGAGAAATGTGAAGCTGTAGTGACGGTGATGGAACTGACTGAACCATGAAAAGTGATGAAAGCGCACGTTGTGTGGTCAACAAGACTTACAGGAAAGGATTTTTCATGGGCATGGGCCATGGGTTCTAATTTGCAGTAATTTGGCTGCCAATCTAGGGCATCACAGCTTGAATCGCCCCATCAATATCCGAGGCCTGCTTTGAATCGAGAGGACATCACCGAAAGCTATTTTTTGAAAGGACACGCAACGCGACACTCGTAGGGCGCTTCGCCCAACCAAGCAAAGGCCGGATCGGCGTTGATCGTTTTGCCGGTGTTGCGATAGAGATCTAAGACGAGTGGGAGCCAAGAGTCCAGGGGTCGATGACGATGTAAACAATGCAGACCAAAAAAAGAGGAAGGGAGGAAGGGGGGGGGGGGGGGGAGGGAGGGAGAGAGAAAGAGAAAGAGAGAGAGAGAGAGAAAGCGAGAGAGAAAGAGAGAGAAAGGGACATCATGTGACAATTCTCATTGATTCCAAAGCTTGCGCTCCCCTGGCACCATGCTCTCTTCTGTACTTCACGCAAGTCCGAAGCGCAGGAAGGCGAGGAAGAAGAGCAACAAGCATGAGATCGTCAAGCAAGCGCACTCCATGGGCTCTCGCCCATCCCATTCCCAATAACTGACCTTTTCTATGCCAGCCTGTCCTGCGGAAGCAGGTGGAGCAAGTGGAAAGGTCAAAGGCAAAGGGCGAAGGATAAGCCAACTCCACAGGCCCAGCAGGAAAACAAAGTGACGGCGGCAATGGAAAGGTCGTGCAACGCACTGGACATTGTAGCCCCTCACAGACTGGAGAAGCCCTCAACGGATTACTAGGCTCCCGCTCAGAAGAGTCTCGATCCACTGCATGCCTTGAGCTTGAGCGGCGGTTGAACATCATTCACTGCTATCAGTCAATACATGTCAATATTGGCTATATATCTATGCCTCGGTGTGCACCAAATTTGATTGACATCAGGATTCATAATTCTTTGCAGCTGCAATCTGCAGGGATCTGTCCGCGTTTGCATGTCCGCTTTCTCTTGGCATTCTGACATTTGCACAGGCCAAACCATCATTGGCTATGGCTGGACACCTGCAAGCCTATCTGCAACAGTAAGTGTAGTGATTTCTGTTTGTCTGCAACTATATACCGTCTTCCCAAATCTGCCTGTTTGTGGGACTTACATGATTGTTGTTTCTTGTCTGTCCCACTGGTTGTCTAGGCAGTGACAATGGTAATGGTATGATAGTTTGAACACTCCAAACCTGTCCACGGGCTCAGGTGCACAATTAGTCTTCCGGGAAAGTTCTCTTATAATCTCCGGCCGACCAGCAACAATCTGTAATCGTGACCAATCGAAGTGCACTTGCAGTACTTGTAATGTGCTTGGAAATGCGCCACGCCCATTCATGCAACATGAATCCTCGCCTCGCCCCACCAAGGAGGGAAATGTGTAACCACGAATTGCCAATCAACTTGATGCGTGACCGATTCTTTCAACTTCGCATCAAGCCAGCCTGCGCTTTGATTATTCCATGCAAACACCGAGGCAGTGTAACAATTAGCAGCAATCAAACATTGCATGAGCAAACCCCCAGCCTGACTGAGCGTCCCAGAGATGACCAAACCATTTCGAACAGTCGAAGACGGAATATGGTCCTGAATGCCCACAACCTGCACCTGTCAGGCTGTCAGGGAAAGAAAACGCACGGTCTGTCTTCCTTCTCCGAGTCAATGCACGTTGCCAATGTTCTTTAATTATCCATCAAGCCCCCTCTCCATTGCCAATGAAGCAAGTCCTATGCAATGCAGTCAGAAGGATGCATGTACAGTATTTACCCTGGCGCAGAAACTGATTCAACTGTAAATGCACGGTGACGGTGAACTCCAGCTGGGTGTCTATCACATGTGCGAAGGCTGCCGAGGAGACAGTAGCAGTGAGACAAACCAGAATCTCTGAACGACGTGGGTGGAAACATCAGAATCAGAAGGCACAGAGGTTGGCGAAACATCTTACAAGCGGCACCAAGAAGCAGCTTTGCCCAAGACAAGTGGAGCCCACGAAGACAAAGCACATCGCAACAAACCAAAGCCAGTGCTTCGGCAATTCTTCCGCAATTCCATCAGTCCATCAATTATAATTGTGAAACAAAAGCATTCAGCACCAAAGGCTTGTCACTTGGCAAATCGAGATCGAACATGGAGACCGATGGAGCCCATATTGCCTGCACCGCCTTTCAAGAGCTTCATCATAGCAGTTATCGGATCATCTGGGATCAATTTCATCAACACTGTCTCTTTCCGCAACAGTCACTGAAGCAAGGGGAGCCACTTTTGGAAGCAAGGGCAGGAGTGCACTTTCAATATCGAGCAAAACACTCCATTCCCAAACTAAACAGCACATGCTTGAATAATCTTGAATAGATTTACATAAGTACCCCATGAAATCACTCAGAAGAAGCACCTGCATAGGTACCACTGTGCTGAGCACCACAAATGTTGTGCTCAGGATCCCACCAGGGGCTCTCCCTGCCATGACGGTGAAAGCCGTAAGATATAGGAGCAATGAGAATAAAATATTCAGTGTTGCTTCCAACAAAAGGAGTTCATGCACGGTTGCTTTCTTTGAAGTTTCAAGCAAGGTGCCTGACGTCGAAGATGTTGCTGTCGACAAACAACCAGTCGACATTGAATCCAGGGTAGTCTTAGCAATCAAACAGTGTAAAGAAGCTGCAGAGCAAGTGATTTCACATCTTGCAGAAGCAGAGTTCACACGAGTCTCCTTCACAAATACACGAATAATCCTATGATACGAGGTGCAGGTACTGGCAATGTGGGGCTCAATTGTGTCAAGTTCATTCAATGTTTAATTCAGCATGCATGAACCTCATTGCACACCTAGGCCACAGTCGCATGCCCTACAGTTGTTCCTTCTGCCCATGGTTGCAGCCGGTGTGTGTGTGTGTGTCACCACCTGTCTCCAAGGTCTCTCCATACCCATGTTTCACCACCATTCTTCCAGCAGGGGGATCAGGGACGTTTGGCTTGGCCTGATCCAACGAAGCTCCAACCATTCATCAGGATATTCCCGAGGCACGCCTTGGGAACGTACCTGCTTGAGTTTGAACTGTTTTCAAGCTGTCCAATGCAGTGTTGTGCAGTAATTGTCTAATGGGCTGAAAAAACATGTTAAAACACCCTCAAGTGAACGGACTTCTTCGCCTTGCGGTTCCTGCACCATTCAGATTCAGTTCATTCAAGTCAAGTGGGACTTCATTTTGAAGCTAGCTCTTGCGAGCAACCATCCAAGTGTGTGTCGCCACAGAGTCCCACTCAAACTGTGGTGTGATCCCGTCGAGGGGCGCAGCATGTGCGCCTGGCGGGCCCACTCTGATTGCTTCGTCTCTGCGCTGGGACTTCGTTCTGCAACCCCCTTGGTCGACTGCTATGCGCGATACCACTGATACTTTGCCGCAGGGCTTACTGAGATCGAACTCCAGCCCGAAATTCTCGCACGCCGCTACGTATTCACATGTACATGTCATACGGCTAAGTATTCACAGGCCGGAAGAGAGCGAGAAACGAGAGTGGGTTTTGCGCTTGTGTATGCGCCTAAGGTTTTGAGTCATGAAGGAACGCTACTAGGGGCTCCGGGCTTCGCTACCAAGAGCAAGGGTGATACCACTGCAGGTTCGTGGCCGTACTATGAGGAGTAAGGATGCTACTAAGGGCTCCTAGTATTGCTATTAGCTTGCAAGCTCGGGATTCAACAGGGGAGCTCGGACGAGGCCTTTTCAGTCAAGCGAGCGCCGGTTACGGCTTTTGTCACGCCTTCGGGCAGACACCACCACCACCA